ATGATTTTTTTTTTAACATCTCATTAATGCGTCGACACAAATCTCTCTCCAATAGAATGTCGATATGTGGCAAGGTAAGACGTATCACGCGCCTCGCCTCACTAATACGTCTCACCGTTTAATTGCTCATTTCTTTTTATTTTCAATTATTTTTTTTTGGGTTTTAATGAGACTCGAGGCCTCGGGGTAACACCGTTGCAGATGGTCTAACAACTACATATTTAATATTTTTGGATGTATATGATTCGAAACGGTAGGCTTAAAATTTATTTTATACTAGTTATATGTTTTCAATATTTTCTATATATTACAAAACAAAATTCAGTATACAACTAAACTTTATAATCGTAATTTATATATCTTAGATATTTTTTTGTTTTTGAAAGATTAGTGTGCTTGTATTATTTTTTGTCATTAATCAACTAGGGATCCACGAGTTTATATTTTTCTCTAGTCCATAATTCCTCCCAATCCTCGTCGTTGACTCCGTCCTATAACGCCGTCGCCGCCAATTCCCGCCTCCCCCTGAACTGTAATTGCTTCAATTTGAACCACCAATTTCGCGATTAAAGCGTTTAACAGAATCACATTGTAAGCATTCCTCTACTTCTTTTTCCCCTTTTCGCTTTGTAGATTAGTTCGGCGAAGAAGACATGGTGATGGAAGTTACGGAGACGACGGAGCGTTGGTGCGTTGTAACCGGTGGTAGAGGATTCGCTGCTAGGCATCTCGTGGAAATGCTATTACGGTACGAGATTTTCCATGTCCGCATTGCCGATTTAGCTCCGGCGATAAACCTCGAGCCTCACGAAGAGACTGGAGCTCTCGGCGAAGCAATCAGATCCGGTCGAGCTCACTATGTCTCCGCTGATCTCAGGAATCAAGCTCAAGTTGTCAAAGGTTTCTTGTTTTGAACTATGTGATTCGTCGAGTTCTAGGAGAATGCGTTTATGAAACTAGCTCACTTGTTTTTTGGTATCTGATGAATGATAGCTTTTGAGGGAGCAGAAGTTGTGTTTCACATGGCAGCTCCAGATTCATCCATCAATAACTATCAGCTTCATTACTCAGTGAATGTTCAAGGTTAGAAGAAACTACAATCTGTGGAGATCTTGTTAGCTTTATTGTGTTTTCTCACTTGTTTATGGATGTTATATCTAGGGACAAGAAATGTAATTGATGCTTGTGTTGAGGTTGGAGTAAAGAGGCTCATCTACACAAGCTCTCCGAGTGTCGTCTTTGACGGAGTCCATGGTGTTTTGAATGCCAATGAAACAATGCCCTACCCACCCAAGGTATTAAGCTTGCTGTTCTGAACTTGTTATTTACATGATTCTGTGAAAAAGTCTTCTTTTCAATGGTAATTTCAAAAGATTCTAGATACGAAAAATTTGGGATGCCGTATTATTGTGTCGCTGTGTTTGAGATTATGTTACTGAGAATCTCCGTTCTTTCAGCACAATGACTCATATTCAGCAACTAAAGCTGAAGGGGAAGCTTTGGTCTTGAAAGCAAACGGAAGAAATGGACTACTCACTTGTTGCATACGTCCGAGCAGCATATTTGGTCCTGGTGATAAATTAATGGTTCCATCGCTTGTAGCTGCTGCTAGAGCTGGGAAATCCAAGGTTGGATCTATTTTCTTTGTTTATCTTTTTTTTTTGTGACCTTTTGTGCTCTTGTGTCTCCTTTTTAGTGATGGTTGGTTTCATCACAGTGTGTGTAAATCCATGACCATGCTACATACTTGACATCTTACAGATGTGCAAATATCTATATAACGAAATGGCGTGCTTCTGGCAATGAGTCTCTTAAGAAAAGAACGATCTTGATAAAATGAATGAAAATCTAAAGAAAAAAGCATTGTCTGCATGGTCTTTCACTTCGCCTAGCACATCGAATAACTTTCTTTGTATTTACGATTGTATTTGAATTCTTTATTGTCCAGTTCATTATAGGTGATGGGAGTAACCTCTATGATTTCACTTATGTTGAAAACGTTGTGCATGCCCATGTATGTGCTGAGCGAGCTCTAGCATCAGGAGGAGAAATATGTGCAAAAGCTGCAGGCCAGGTATTTGGTTTCAGTTGATTCCATGTTGTAGATGTCTACTATGATAGTGACAATATGATAGGCACCTCTCTAATTTTTGGTGTGGTCTATTATAATGTTCTATGAACGAAACCATTCGGCGAAATGGATGTATAAGGAAGATGGAACCTTATATGTTCTCCTTAGGGATATTAAGAGCGTCAGAAAGTTGTATGACATACCCTGAAAACATATATGCGAGTTTGGCTCCAGTCTGGTTGTATTTGAACAGTTCAGCTGTCCTCATAGCTTTTCTTAGACTCAGATTTCTTTTAGGTTGGGTTTTCTTAGACTCATAAGGAGATGTTACATGGATTAAACTTAGTTTTCTCTTAGCTTGGGTTATAATGTGACATACTACTTGGACTTCGTGAATGTATGGCAATTTGCAAAAGAAAAGGGCCCACATCTCCTTAACCCGACATGGAATGGCTTTGCAGGCATACTTCATTACCAACACGGAGCCAGTTAAATTTTGGGAGTTTATGTCACAGCTTCTTGAAGGGCTTGGCTATGAGAGGTATATCATGCATGTTTTATCTTGTTTGTTTCTATTGTGAGTAATATTTTCTGGCCTCATTATAGAAGTAGCAGCCACGTTTTATTAGGATAACCATATGACACTCACGACCTTTGCCATTCTTTGTAAATTGTTATATTATTTTTCAGGCCAAGTATAAAGATACCTACGATTATCATGATGCCAATAGCTCATCTTGTTGAACTGATATATAAATTACTGGGACCGTATGGGATGAAAGTACCTACGCTTACACCTTCTAGAGTTAGGCTGCTCTCTTGCACCAGAACTTGTGATTCCTCAAAAGCAAAGGATCTTTTAAGCTATGCTCCTGTTGTGCCGCTTCAGGTTTATACGACCTTCTTTCATTTGAGACAGAGATCGATGTAAATTCTGTGGTTGTATGCTAACCATTTTACTTGGCTTTTGTACTGTGTAACTGCAGGAAGGTATACGGAGGACGATAGACTCGTTCTCACACTTGTCAGCTCAAAATCAACATAAAAGAGAGGGTACGTTTGGCTATATCCCTGGATTTTTGCTTTAATATCAAATCATATGACAAGTTCAAAGTTGTAACATTCACTGTGACGAGCATTAACTTTACTGAAATGAAAGGTCATGARCATTGTGATTCCTATGCTTAGGATATGAGAAAAAACTAGTAAAATCTTGGCTCACTAGATAAGGTGCATATTGAGAACATTAGTCTTATGAACTTGCAGCTGGTGATACGCTTCTGCGGAAGGCTAAAAAGCAAAGTCTCATTGCTCTATTGATTCTTATTACAATCTATTATAACTTTGTTGCAACCACGGGCTCTTCCGTCATAACTGCTCTTTCCAAGGTTTTGTTGGTAGCATCAATTTTTCTCTTCTTCCATGGCATTCTACCAGAGAAAATGAAATTATTCGGGAGCAAGAAGAGTGTTTAAGAACGACTTCAGGATTTCTCAACAATGGATATTCTAAGCTTTTTATCAGGTAATGACATTATCTTCCTCCGTACATTGTTAAACCTGAGTCCTTGGTGCATGTGTACATCCTTGGGGAACATGGATGTTGCTTAATCTTTTGTTTTGCTTGTCTTTTCGGATCATTAGTTAAACTCTATAACAATCAATTTGGTGTTGTTTGTAATACCCAAATTAATTAATCGGTTTGGATCGATTGTTTTTATGTCCGCTACTAAGAAATTAAAATTCGAAAAATAAAAATTTTATGGTGATCCGGAAGCCAATTTCAACACCAAGTAATGAGCTAGTTGATGCACCAACTAAATTAATGTAACTAATACTATTAATGTAACTAATACTAAATGAACTACTGAAAAGTGCTGTAAAACTACATTGACTCAACCCCGATTTTTTTTTGTTGCCAATCCGAAGTCATTCCCAAGGGTAGGCCGTAGGCCTTCGTTTATTTGGTTGCACCTTTTTCGGGTTTAGATTTGTTGGTTTCTAGAATATAGATCCCATTGGATGTTTTGGTTTGTGTATCCGACAAGTGTTCTTTTGCTATTCACTTTCTTTCCTTTTTTTATATGGAAATTTTAAGTCATCATTATGCATACATATCAAGAACGGAAGAAGCCAATTGTAACCTTAAAATTCTTAATCGGAGTAATATAATAAACGGGACCTATAATAAACTATGGTTCTTGTGTTGTTAAAAGGTAAATTCAATAAACTCTAGTAAGGTTTTTGAGAATGTGTAGTTTAGTTAGGTCTAAAATTTGGTTCGATGATACCAAAAAAGGGCAAAAGGCAAAATATGCTTTGTGCAGCAACATGGTGTTATACATAGAAACATTTTGTTGCGTCTGAAGCCAATATAGCCTCTCCGACCAGCTCAATATCCGAATTCTATTTCTCTACGATGCAAACTTCACATTATTTTTTCATTTTGGACTATTTTAAACAATTTCATGATTAAAAATATCTACTAATTATTTTATAATTTAAAAACTATCAATTACTCAAACTATGATTCTTATCTTTGGACTATTCTAACAATTTCGTAATTTAAATATCTATTATAATTTTAAAACAATCCATTACTTAAATTTTAAATTTGTTATCGTATTATGATCTATGCACATTCTCAATGAGAGTATCTAAGAAAGTTTTTTTTTAATCAAAATTTAGAATAAAAAAATAGAAAAGTAGGAGAGAGAATAAAAAGAGGTTTTCTATGTAAAAACTCTTATTCTTTTTTTGAAGAAATCCATTTAACATGTGCATAAGCTAAAATCATCTAAATAATATATTTAAAAAATTTATAGAGTTTCTATGCGTTGGAAATGCTCTAACTAACTGCAATAATTTGAAAGACAAACGTTTTCATGGCGATAGATAAAGTTTATGAATTGAACTACCAAATTTGCCTCCATCGATTAAATGTTATTTGCGTTCTCTCAAAATCGTTGTCTATAAATCGAATCCCATATTTGGTGTAAAAAATCACACTAAAATATAAATATTCTATATATCTAGACGCAAACTACATACTATTTTTCAATA